ACCATCTAACACCAGTCAGAATGGCTATTATTAAAAAGTCAAAAAATAACAGGTGTTAATGAAATTGTAGAGAAAAAGAAAAAAAGAAACACGTATACACTGTTGGTGGGAGTGTGAATCAGTTCAACCATTAGGGAAAACAGTGTGGCAATTCCTCAAAGACCTAAAGACAGAAATACCATTTGACCCAGCAATCCCATTACTGGGTATATATCCAAAGGAATATAAATCATAAAGACACATGCACATATGTTCATTGAAGTACTATTCACAATAGCAAAGATATGAAATTAACCTAAATACCCATCAATGACGGACTGAATAAAGAAAATGTGGTACATATACACCATGGAATACTATGCAGCCATAAAAACAGAATGAGATCAGCCGGGCATGGTGGCTCTCACCTGTAATCCCAGCACTTTGGGAGGCCGAGGTGGGCAGATCACAAGGTCAGGAGATCAAAACTATCCTGGCCAACATGGTGAAACACCATCTCTACTAAAAATACAAAAATTAGCTGCATGTGGTGGCACGTGCCTGTAATCTCAGCTACTCAGGAGGCTGAGGCATGAGAATCGCTTGAACACAGGAGGCTGAGTTTGCAGTGAGCCAAGATCACGCTATTGCACTCCAGCCTGGCAACAGAGCGAGACTCCATTTAATTAAAAAAAAAAAAAAAGAAAGAAAAGAAAAGGATGAGATCATGTCCTTTGCAGGGACATAGATAGAGCTGGAGGCTACTATCCTTAGCAAAGTAACACAGGAACAGAAAACCAAATACTGCATGTCCTCACATATAAGTGGGAGCTAAATGATGAGAATACATGGATACATAGAGGGGAACAATACATACTGGGGCCTCTCAGAGGGTGGAGGGTGGGAGGAGAGAGAGAATCAGGAAAAATAACTAATGGGTGCTAGATTTAATACCTGGGAGATGAAATAATCTGTGTAACACACCCCTAAAATACAAGTTTACCTATGTAACAAACCTGCATATGTACTCCTGCACTTAAAAGTTAAAAAAAATAACTTATTTAAATGTACACCATTTAAAGAACAACAACAACAAAAAAGACACATGCACACATGTGTTCATCATAGCACTGAATAGCAAAGACATGGAATCAACCTAAATGCCCATCAATGGCAGACTGCATAAAGAAAATGTACATATATACCATGGAATACTATGCAGCCATAAAAAAGAATGAGATCATGTCCTCAATTTAAAAGGGGGCCATCAACATGAACTTTGGAGTTCTGATCTCATACAATCAATGAGATGAATTCCCTGAACTACAGAAAAGCAGAGAACTGTAGAGATGTCCTCTGGAGACAAAAGTAGCAAATTAAACCTCTGAAGGCCATCACTCTCCAGTGGAAAATCCCTAAGGAAATGGTGTATCTGGAGCCCAGGAGAAATGGGCCCAGCAGGACCCCAAGCAATTACTGCACATTTATTTCTAACAATGTCCACTGGGGATTGCTCCCTATATTCCAAGAATAGCCTGCAAATAAGCCGAGGGTGAGGCCCAGACACCACTCCTTGGCCAACCCACCAGGGAATCAGGTTCTGTTCTCCCCAGCCACTTCCCTCTCCCTGCCTCCCACCCACCTGCTTTCTCATCTTGCTTTCCATGGGACCCAGGCTTGTGTCCCTGGCCCCAGGCTGCTTGTGAGCTTTCTGAGCTCCTGAGAGAAGAAAAGCCATTCAGGAGAAGGCAGGGGCCTTGGGTGGGGTTTGCAGAAATCAGACCAACTGGACAGGTCAGTGCCCATGTAGGGGAGGAAAGAGAAACACTCCTCCCCAAAGTCCCTAAATGTCTTAGCCAAAGACATCTCCTCCTCCTCCTCCACCTCTCAAAGACAAGCAGAACCTGACCCTGAAGGGACCTTAGAAACCATCCAGGGATCCAACGCCATCATTTTAGCAGAGAACAGACTTCCCACAGCACAAAGGATTTGATTCCTGGACAACCCCTCTCAGCCTCTGCCCTCATC